CCTCCTCCGGGAGCGCGCGGCACCTCGGCGTCCTCGTGCCGACGGGAGGTGATTCCCGTGCCCGTCATAACTCCCCGTGGGTTTCTCTTTCGGGAAGTGTCTCCCAGAATCCCAGGATGGCTGAGGCTGGAAGGAACCTCTAGGGATCATCCAGTGCAGCCCCCTGCTCCAGCAGGGACACCCAGAGCACGGGGCACAGGGGGGCATCCAGGCGGGTTGAGAAGCTCCACAGCCTGTTCCAGTCCCCTCTCCACCTGAACCCTGCTGGATTCCAGAGGCCGGGAGCGCCGTGCTGCGGAGCCCAGCACGGAGCAGCCCCTTGGGGCAGGCTCGAGGGAAGCGCTGGCTGCTCCGGGCACGGAGCCGGGCTGTGGCCGCTGCCCCACGTGCTGGGATGGCTCCTCGGGAATGGGCCCAAGGGAGCCGGCACGGCCACCCGTGGCGAGGACACATCCTGCCCCGGGTCCGGAGCAGAGGACAGGGAGGTGTTTCCTGCTCCGTGCTCCGGCCTCGAGGGCGTCTCCTGCTCCCCGCCGATCCCGGCCCTGCTCCCGTTAGCCCAGGGAAGGCTTCTCCCAGCCGAGGTGCTCCCAGAACACGGGAGCTCGCCATGGCCACGGCTGTGCTCCGTTGGCTTCTTCGCGGCATTCCCGTAAGGAGGTGCCGGGCTCCTGGAAATGGCTGGAGACACGGGGGGGGGGTTGGGGCACGGAACCATTTCTAACGGGAATAGGCTTGTGGATGCTGGTGGTGGAAAATAGTGAGAGAAATGAGACAATCCATGGGAAAGGTGAGGCGGGAATGTCTCCTTCACACTGAAGGAGAAGATGAGGGGCAACCTTGGGATCAGATTGTCCAGGAAACCTCCGTTCCCGTCTCCCGTTTGGGTTTCCTTTAAGCCCTTGGCACACGATGCCACCAAGGCAAAGCAAAGCTGGGTTTCCAAACAAAATCCATCCAGGGAAAAAGCCTCTCCAAAGCCGTGCTGCCCGGAGACGTGGCCAACATTCCCGTTGAGGACATCCTGAAGCTGCAGGTTGCTCCCATCGGGAACGTGACCTAGGGAAGGACAGTGACAGGATTCGCGTGGCAGCTGCTCCGCGTGGAATGAGCTCTTGGCACCGCAGGCTCCGGCGCTGCCTTGGCCGTGTCGGATGGAGCAAGGACAGGGCATGGATGGAGCAAGGACAGGGCACGATGGAGCAAGGACAGTGCAGGGGGCTCCTCTGCCCTGAGGCTGCTGTTGGAAAAGCGGCGTCGGAA